GCCAAAACTGACGTGGCGACCCACCGACGCAACCCACCCTTCCCCTATCCTTCCGCTCTCTCCTGGTCCCTCCTCCGTCCACCTACATCCTGTGCCACCCTGCCTGCTCCTCCCCATTCTCCAGTCCCAGTGCCCCTCGGTGCTTACCTCTTTCTCACAGGACACAGGAACATAGCGGGCATTGGTGACAGTGAGCTCCTCACTCCCCGGCCCTGCCCGGCGAATCTCACACTCACCGCCCTGGCCCTTCCGGGTCCCCGTGGCCAGCAGGTCTCGGACAGTCTCATTATAGATCTCTACGTAGTTTGCCACAAAGCTGTAGGTCCAGCCCTGACCGCCCAGCTCCTGGGCCACAGAGAAGAGGTGCCGCAGGGCCCGAGGGATCAGGCCCTCCACCTGGGGGTCTCCCCCAGGCCCACCCTCCATGGTGAAGGTCTTGCCACTGCCTGTCTGGCCATAGGCAAAGATGCACACTGGGTAGCCATCCAGGGCTGACTGGACAAGCATGGCAATCTCCTCAAACACTTGGTCCTGTCCACTCCCTGGTGGGAATACCCGGTCGAAGGAGAAGTCGTGGCGGGTGGTGGGGGCCGGCGCCCCACTCAGGGTCCCACGACGATCGTCAGACCGGGAGACACTGAGGCGGGTTGGAGGATCGGAGGGCCCGCCGGGGCCAGAGGGAAACAGGAGGAAGCCTGGGGACGGGGTGGGCTCCCCTGGAAGGACAGGGCGGACCCGGCAGAACACACGGATATTGCCTTTGAGTTCCTGTAGCTGGTTGTGGAGTCGCCGGCGCTCCATCTCTAGCCCATGCAGACGTTCTCCTTGCTCCACCAGTGCGGCCGCCTGCGCTGCAGCCTCCTGACGCAGACATGCCACCTCCGCTTGGCTGCCTGACAGAGCTGCTTCTGAGGCCTGCAGCCTCCTCTGTTCGGAACGGAGTGGACACAGAGGGTGAGACCCAGCAGAAGAATAAGGACAAGTCATAACGAGGTGGGGGGTGGAGGGAGGGCAGTCCCTGTCCCCAAGGACTTCAAAGTCTGCTAAGGAAAGAGGTAAGAAAATAAGAGTCATGGTACCAGATTAGGGAGTGCTCTGGGAACAGCCAAAAGGGGCACAAGGACAATGATAGCTAAGCCGACACCCAAAAGTATCGGAATAAACCAAGGAAAAGACGGAGAACAGAAAGAATGTTCCACAAAGTGGGAAGTGAATGTGCAAAATGCCCTGAAGAGAAGATTGAATCATTTGAGAAACTGCAAGTAATTCCATCTAGTTGGTGGGGACATCAAGGAGTCAAATGGACATGAGAAGAAGAGAGAATGCCGCAGGGATTTTTGACCAGGGAAGAAAGAGACTGAGGAGAAGATGGAGGATGAGGGGAGACACAGATCTGGGTGGGGTGGGGGGCTATGAAAGCAGTCAGGATAGGGAGAAGTGGGGCAGAAAGCAAGACGCAGTCAGGAGTGGGCAGGGGTAGAGAAGGACAGAGGAATACTGCTGGAGAGAGGTGGCCAGGGACTCCCAAGCCCAAAGAGTCCTCAGGGTAACCCAGAAAGGAGGGTTGGCGTTTGGTAAGAAGGTGGCCCTTACCTCCTGCTCCTCCAGCCGGGCGGCCAGTCCCCTTCGCTCCTCCTGCAATCCCAACTGTTCTTTCTGGAGCTCTTGCACCAAGCCTTCCTTTGTGCCCAGCTGCTCTTCCAGCTCCAGGACATGGGCCCTGAGGTTCCCCAACTCCTGCTGACCCTGCTCAGCCTGGGCCTGCAGCCTGGCCAACTCCCCTTCCAGTGTCCTGCACTCTGCCCCCAGGGCCTGGGCCTGTTGCTGGGCCTCCTCGAGTTGGTCCTGCAGTTGTAGGTTCTCCTGGTTCAAAGTCTGAGTCCTCTCACGGAAGCACTTCAGCTGGGCATTCAGGTCACATAACTGACCCTTTAAGTCCCAGGCCGGACGTTTGGTGGGTTTCTTCCCTCCCACCATGGGAGGGGCAGCCGCTAAGATGGGCACGGAAAGGACAAAGGTCAGGGAGGTCGTGGCTTTCTATCTTTCCTCCCTCCAGGCCTTTAAGGCCTCCACACCCACTGCTACAACTCTTTCCCCTCCAGACAGGGAGGGAACCAAATGGATTTTTTTGGGGGGTACTCACCACCTCCTCTCCTTCCTATCCCAGCCTCTCACCCAATGGTTATGCTTGGCACCTACCTGCAGGCTTCTGGGCAGGAACGGCAGGGCCTGGTTTCTGATTCTTCAACACTAGAGAATCGGGGAGTTAACATAAGAAATCACAGCACCAGGGTCTTTCCACCCCCATCATCTCCTTTTACACATACCCCCAAATCTCTCCTCAGCCCCAGCTCTGAAGCACTATTACCTGTGGCAATAGCCGTAGAACATCGGGGTCCTGAATTCTTGGGAACTTTTGGAGCTGTCGGGAGATGGGACAGGAAAAAGTAGCACAATCAGTCTCAGGGTGGCATGAACTCTGGCTGGGCCAGGCACAGAGTCGTTGCTTTTTCTGAGGATTAGAAATAAGATAACTTCGGGGCGCCTGGGGGCCTCAGATGGTTAAGCGTCTGCCTTCAGCTCAGGTCATGATCCCAGGGTCCTGGGATCGAGCCCCACATCGGGCTCCTGGCTCAGCGAGGAGCCTGCTTCTCCCTCTGCCTCTGCCTCTCTCCCTGCTCATGCTTTCTCTCTCTCTCTCTGTATCTCTGTGTCTCAAATGAATAAATAAAATCTTTAAAAAAAAAAAAAAAGAAAGAAGATAACTTCCCTCTTCCCTGAAATCTGGCCAGCTCTGAAGATATCCTTCCCAGGACCAGAAATTACTCAAGACACCAAGAAATAAGTTGGACCAAGATAAGCAAAAAGAGCAGGGGGCAGAGCCATGTGTCAAGAGCGCTACCATTTATATATAAAAAGAAATTGTTGGAGACCATGTCCAGATGTGCTTGAACGCCCACAGAACGCCCTGGAAGGGACAGAATGCCCCTGGGCAGGGGAACTGGGTGGCTGGGGGACAGGGGTAGGAGGGAGACTTTCCTCTGTAAAATGACTTTTGTGCCTTTGGAATTTGGAGGGGGTTGGAGAGGGAGAGGGAGAGAGAGAATCCCAAGCAGGCTCCATGCCCATAGTGGAGCCTGACTTGGGGCTGGATCTCATGATCCTGAGATCATGACTTGAGGCAAAATCAAGAGTCAGATGCTTAACCCACCGAGCCACCCAGGCACCCCTTGTGCCTTTGGAATTTTAAAACAAGTGAAACCTATTACCTATTCAAAATAAGCTAAAATTGAAAGACAAGAAATAAGTGAGTTGAAGAGCACTGGACTTCTATTCCCTTGGTTTCTGCCCACTGCTAGAACCCACCTGTGGTCTGGCCTTGTGTCTGTGGTCTTGCAGTGAGGGCAGGTGCTCTGGGGTGGGACATGGCAATTTTGGTCACTGTATCCAGTCCTCGTGTCCTTTTCTGGAGATAGACAAGAATTGGGTACATTTACTCTCCCTGATTGGTTTAGACACACACACTCTCCCTCTGTCTCTTTCACACACACACACACACACACACACACACACACACACACGTAAAGCTTTTCCAAACCCAGCTCACCTTCTCAGGCTCTAAGGCATCCTCCATCTGGTCAGGCCCCCTCTTAAACCTGGTTCCCGGTAGAGGCAGCCGAGAAGGAGCCTTGACCAGGGGCCTCTTCAGCTCTACGTTCCCCCTCACTTCCAACAAGGGGGACCTCTGCTGGGAAAAGAGAGACCCTTCAGACATACCCTGGAGCCCAAATGTCCCAAGAACTCCCCTTCTTAGTCCCCTAGCCTAATTCTCAACCACCAACAAGCACTGACTGAGTACCTCTTGTGCACAAACCGGGGCCCACAGATGATGTGCCAGCCAAAAGGCACAGAGAGAAGTGGGACATAATGCAAAAGTGGGAGAAAGTTCTAAGGGAAAAGCTGGACAGATGCTGAACTTCAGCGAACTTTAAGAGTAGTACTTTTTTTTTTTTTTAAGATTTTATTTATTTATTTGACAGAGAGAGCATGCACAAGAGAGGGTGAGTGGCAGGCAGAGGGAGAGGGAGAAGCAGGCTCCCCACTGAGCAAGGAGCCTGATACCAAGCTCGATCCCAGGACCCCGGGATCCTGACCTGAGCCAAAGGCAGACACTTAACCAACTGAGCCACCCAGGCATCCCAAGGGTAGTACTTAAACAAGCACAGAGAAATGGATACTTTCTTCAGAAGGCAAAACCTCAAACATACACATAATATGGCTGGGAAACCAATAGGCTCTTTCAGCTAAAATGGAGAATCATAAATAAGAGAGAGAGTGGAAGATAGATAAGGCTGAAGACTAGATAGGAGGAGTAGGTAATATTTTACTTATTTTTAAAAAAAATTTTTTTTAGAGAGGGAGAGAGAGAATCTTACACAGGCTCCACATCCAGCCCAAGCACCACGTGGGGCTCGATCTCATGACCCTGAGATCATGACCTGAGCTGAAATCAAGAGTCTGATGCTCAACCAACTGAGCCACCCAGGCTCCTCAAGTGGGTAACATTTTAGAATTTGTTTTAAATGCTTCCTCTGTATCAACCTAATCCTTACAGCAGCCCACTGAGGAGGTGCTATTATCAGCCTCATTTCGCAGATGAGGGAAAGGAAGGCACTGAGAGGTAAAATAGCTTGTCTAAGCTCATCAGTGAGTAAAAGGCAGAGCCGCAGTTACAATCTAGACAGTCTGGTTCTGGAGGCCATGCGTTTAACTGCTAGAATATAGTGACCTGTAGGACTTTGATGCCAGGCTAAGGAGGAGTTTAGGCTTTAGCTTTGTGTGTGTGGAAAACCAGACACAGTTTCTGATCAGGCATGTTAAAAATATACAAAAGAGCCTATTTATAAAAAACAATGAGTTGTAAGTAGGCTGACTTGCATGGAGAAGACTAAGAAGCAGCATGACCCAGTTTAGAGACCACCAAAGTACAGGTGTGGGGTGGGGGCAGTGTGAAAGAGAGATCCTCTCCTAAGCACCTCAATTCGGTGCCTGGAGATTATGTCCACTCCACAGCTACTCCTGTCTAGGGTGACCAACCATTCTAGTTTGCGCAGAACTAACGGGTTTCTGAGGACACAGAACTTCTCCGTGCTAAAGCCAGATCCTTCCTATGCAAACCCTACTCTGATCCCACCATCAGGAGAGCACTATGTAGACTGATCAACTTCTGATCTTCACTATAATTAACTTTTAATTCCAAGGCCAGTCTCTCTGCCCTTTGGCTTCCTTCATTCATTCGATATTTACTTAGTGTTTGTTATGTGCCAGAAAACGATCTGGGTTTGGGAGTAATAGATGTGATCCCTGCCTGCAAAATACTCATGAAAAAATGGGGAAGAGAAGCATTTAAAGAGATTATTAAAACTTTACTGAGTGCTATCATAAAAAGTGCCCCAAGGAGGGGATGAGCATGTAGTTCAGATGGGGAGAGTGTCAGAGAACACTTCTAAAAGGTCTTTTAAGGCAAAACCTTGATGATGAGAGTTAGCCCGGGGGTTTGGGCCAAGGAAGAGCATCCCAGGCAGAAAGCAAGGAGGGGTGCATGCAAGGAATGTCAAGTTGTTCTGTTTAGCTGACACACGGAGTGTGCACGGAAAGTGGGGAGATGAAGGGAAAGGATTGTGGCAGTCGGCATGCCATGATAAGGAGTCTAGCGTTTACTGAAGGCAAGAGGGACCATGATGATTTTGTCAGAATAGTAAGACAAGATTTGTACCAAAAAAGCAACATGAAACAAGGTGAAGAATGAATGGAGGTAGATGAGGGGTATGACAGGCAGAAAGAATGCATCATTCCTTTCTTCCTTCATCCAACAAGGATTTGTTGCACTAAGATTTGTTGCAAGACTGCTCCATGCCAGACACTGTTCTAGAAGCTGGGGTGAGAGTAATGAATAAAATCCCTGCCCTCCCAGAGGTAACTTTATAGGGCATTCTTTCCAAACTGGAGTACCACAGAAGAATTAAACTCTACAAAAAATGATCCACTTTCTCAATTCTCCCAAGGATGTATACACCTCTTACCATTCTAGATGCATAAGAGAGAAGTTAATTCAATAGATAAAAAAGATGCATAGAGCTTAATTTTCATGGAACTCAGCCGAGAGGGGCTGTTTTAGGAGCTTGAGGGCTAAGTAGAAATCCATCTGAGAGAGGGCAGGCAGTGGGGATGAAGAGGAGGGGCTGGATTACTAGAAACCAAGTATTGATCTAACTTAGGAGCTGGCCTGGTGAGGGGAGGTAGAGGGCAGGCAGTGAGGGAGATGGAGGAGTCCAGGGTGATTCCAAGAGGCCTGCCACAATTCCAACAACCAAGAGAACAGGAGGAAGGGCTGTTTTTCCCTTTTTTAAAAAATTTATTTGGGATGCCTGGATGGCTCGGTCAGTTGAGCATCTGCCTTTGGCTCGGGTCATGATCCTGGAGTCCTGGGATCCAGCCCCACCTTGAGCTCCCTGCTCAGCCTACTTCTCTCTCTCCCTCTGCTGCTTCCCCGCCCTCTTGTGTGCTCTCTCTGTCAAATAATTTTTTTTTAAATATTTTATTTATTTATTTGACAGAGAGATAGAGTACAGGTAGGCAGAGAGGCAGGCAGAGGGAGAGGGAGAAGCAGGCTCTCCGCTGAGCAGGAAGCTGATGTGGGGCTCGATCCCAGGATCCTGGGATCATGACCCAAGCCGAAGGCAGACGCTCAACCAACTGAGCCACTCAGGCACCCCAAATAAATAAATATTTTTAAAAAATGTATTTTGAGAGAGAGAGTGCACTCAAGTAGGGGGAGGGGCAGAGGGAGAGAATCTTTAAGCAGACTCCCTGCTGAGTGCAGAGCCCTACAATGGGGCTTGATCTCATGACCCATGAGATCATGACCTGAGCCAAAACCAAGAGTTGGTCACTTAACTGACTGAGCCACCCAGGCACCCCTATTCTTTTGTTTTTTAATTAAACTTTTTATTTAAAACTCATTGCAGATCCATATGAACTTGTTAAGAAACAACATGGAGAGATTCCAAATACAACGAGATATATTTAAGGATGTTTACAGTGCATCCCTATAGAGAAAACTCTGGAACAATTTGATGCCCAGGTTTTTTAAATTTTAGTTTATTGGCTTATTGTCTTTCCTTACATTAGATTGTGAGCATCATAAGAACATATCTGTTTTGTTCACAACCATATAACCAGTATAATGTCTGCTACATGTCAGGACTCAATACATTTTTAAAGGAATGAAATTGGATGTCCACCGGTGGGGGAATACTTAAATAAACTGTGATATATCCAGACCACTGGCTTCTATACAAAAAAAAAAAGGAGGTGGCATTATTTTTCCTGCTGCCTGCAGAAATGTGCACAAAGAATAGAGTTATATAACTTATGACACATTTCCCATCTCCCCATAGAATGGCAGCTTCTCATAGAATGACATCTATAGAGATGACAGGGATTAGTCTTGTTTATTGTTGCATCCCAAGTTATCTACAACTGTGCCTGGTACATAGTAGGTGCTCAGTAAATATGAGAAGGCTTCTACTGTTTTTCACTGTCACAATCATACTGCTCTGCTCTTTAGCTGTCAGGATACAAAGAACATCTCTTCAGGTTGAAACTTGTTTTGGGTAAATCTGAATGTGAAATACTAGTAAACAGAGGATCCAGACAGGAGTCTTTTTCTGGCACCAAAAGTCAATACACTCTCGCTGTCACACCTCTCTCTCCACTGGAGAGGGAAGGCTGCAGATGGTTGTGGGGTGCAGCAGGGCGCTAATAAGAGAAGAAACTTAAGTCAAGCCAGTCTCAGGAGTCAGAGATCTCTGTAAAACCTGGAGGAGAGAGAATGAGGAGTCCTTCCGTTCAGGTTACCCAATCCCTTTATCCCCTTCCAGCACTCCAAAGCGAAAGGAACAAGAGAGAACTGGAAAGATCATCAGCGGGGATTTGGCCTCGGGCACCATTTCCTCAGCGGTAGACGGAATCTCAGAACTCCCCTTTCTCGATCACACACTGCAATCGTCGGTAGGAATGGAGAAGTAGGTACGAGTCAGACAAGCCTGAGAAATCGAAATGGAAAATCCTGGAGACATGAAAGTGAGGAAGGGTGTATGGGACTCCCTGAAATTGGGGGAGAGCAGACAGACATGCACTCCGACTTCCTGGGCCTGCTCCCTGCCCTCTCCCTCCCTCCTGTCCACTGTTCGGGGACGCACGGACTTTCACCCTCCAAGCAGGCAGGACGAAGGCCGGCCGGGAGCCGGGGGCTCGTCAGCATCGTGGGCAAGAGACCCAACGCGGCTTCTACTCACCTGCGGCTCCATGTCCAGTTCCGTACCACACGCGCCAGGGGAGCACAATGGAAGAGGACACGGCGCCCGGGCTCCCGGGACCCGCGTTCTCTCGCCGGCTCGCGACACAAAGCACGCGCGCTCCGGGCTCCGGGGGGCTACCAGCCGGGTGCCACACCCGCCACTTTTGAATTCCAACCGCCGCCACCTTTCTCACCTCCCTCCGCAAGCAAGGGCCAATCGTCGCCGGCGCCACAGCCAAGGGCCAATCGCAGCGCCCTCCGCCTCCCGAGGCCACACCCCGCCAGGCCGGCACCTTCTCCTTCCTGCTTCGCGGGCGACCGGGAGGCCGGCTAGTTAGTCACACTTCCGGCTCCACTTCCACCTCTCTCACCCTCCCCTCCTGTAGCCGTCGTCGCGCTGCACTTCCGCTCGGCTCCTCGCTGCAGCGCCTTACGTCAGAAAATGCCTGTAACGCGCCGCGCGAACGTACCTAGAGTGGGGCGAGAGCGCTGGAGGAAAGTAATCACGCGTGCGCAAACGGGGACCCGTTTAGGGGGAGGGACGCGACGAGCCCGCCCCTAGCGACTGCAGCAGGGAGCGCACTCGTTACCCTCGACTGGATCGTAGTGATTGCGGTTGGTGGCGCGGCGCCTCTCCGCGGATTTGAACTCCCGGTAAAGCTCCGGGAAAGTGGTAGCAGGAGCCCTCCCGCGAATGTGGGAGTGGCCGCATCTGCCCCTTCCCCAGTCATTTTGGCATTTTTCACCAGACTTAGGGACGTTGGGTACAGCTTGGCGCTTCTGGAAGCCCGACAGTGGGGATTCGAGGCTCAGAGGAGTTTTCTCTGCAGTCCCCCTCATCAACCTACCTACTAGGTACCTGGGCGCTGATACTGGTGCTGGGGAGCTGGCTTAGGGCCTTCGGAGCCTCGAACCCGCGGACTTACATTTATGGAATATTTTATGCTTTTCAGGCTGTCTGCATGTGCATTATCTCTTTTAATAATCGCTAAATTCACTGAGCTCTTACTATGTGTCGAGTGTTTTGCATCTTTTATCTGCAAGCTGGATGAAGGAGGCAGGTTTAGAAAGGTTAAGTAACAAGCACAAGGTCACACTGCTGATTGGGAGTGGATCTAGATTCTATTAGCTTCGAAATCCAGCTATATGTTACCTCACACTACCTCCAACAATCTTAGTGTCAAAGACATCAAACTCTTACCTGTGAGTAATTTGCAGAGTGGTTCTACCCATTTATTCGTGGCAGTTTCCAACCAACCTGGAGATGGGATAGGGATTTTATTGATGAGACTGAAAGGCAGGGGGAAATCTGTCTTGGTGCATTTCTGGAGATTGACAGAATTGGAACTCAAGCCACCTGTCTTCCAATCCAGTGCTTTAACTTGAATTCAAACCTGCTTGTGGAGGGAGCAGACTGGGGAGACACAGAGTCTGAAAACCAGGGGTCATCCCCCAAACTTTGATAGCTTAGGAAACTTACAAAAAGCAGGAGCTTGAAAAGAAGAGAGAAGAAGAGTGAGGGAGGAAACAAGAAGACCAACATTTAATGGATGGGTCAAGAGGGAGAACTGAGAAGAAACGTAACAGCAGAAGACATTTCTCAAAGTTATAAACAAATGTTAGACTAGGGGAAATATGGATCCATCAGTACATTAAAGGGGAAACAGTTCATTCATGTCAATTGATACATAAAAACTACTCGAAATATTCATCCGTTGATATTAAAGACTACCCTATAACCTGATAAAGGACATCCTCAAAAATCCTGCAGCACACATCACAATAATGGTGAAGTGTTGAAAGCATTTCTCTTAAGATGAGAAACAAGCCAAGGCTGCTTGCTCTCAATAACCCCAGTCAATGCAATAATGGAAGTTTAGCCAGTCCAATAAACAACAGCAACAAATATATAAGGATTGGGAAAAAAGAAGAATATCAGTATTTGTGGATGAAATTATTGTGTGTGTAGCAACCCCAAAAGAAAATTGAGATAGAATTGGTAAGTGAATTTAGCAAGGTTGCTGGGTACAAAATCAATATAACAAAAATCAATATACAAAACCTATTGCATTTCTAGCATCAGCAACCATCATAGAGCGTAACTTTTAAAAATATTTGCCATTTGAGGGGCACCTAGGTGGCTCAGTCAGTTAAGCGTCCCATTCTTTTTTTTTTTTTTTAAAGATTTTATTTATTTATGTGACTGAGAGAGACACAGTGAGAAAGGGAACACAAGCAGGGGGAGTGGGAGAGGGCGAAGCAGGCCTCCCACTGAGCAGGGAGCCGGACGCGGGGCTCCATCCCAGGATCCCGGGACCACAACCCGAGCCAAAGGCAGACGCCAAACGACAGCCACCCAGGCGCCCCAAGCGCCCCACTCTTGATTTCAGCTCAAGTCATGATCTCAGGATTGTAAGGTTGAGCCCTGCGTTGGGCTCTGCACTCACTGGGGAGTCTGCTTGAGATTTTATCTCTCCCTCTCCCTCTGCCCCCCTCTCAACACACATGCCTTCTCTCTATCAAATAAATAAGTAAATAAATCTTTTTGATTTATTTTAAAACATTTTATGAAAAGTTTTAATTAATTAATTTATTTGATAGAGCACAAGCAGGGGGAGAGGCAGAGGGAGAGGGAGAAGCAGGCTCCTGCAGGGAGCCCGATGTGGGGCTCGATCCCAGGACCCTGGGATCATGACCTGAGCCGAAGGCAGACGCTTAATGGACTGAGCCACCCAGGTGCCCCTAAATAAATCTTTAAAAATATTTGCCATTTGGTTACATGAACATATACATATATAAAAGTCAAGGTGTACACTTGATTTGTGTACTTTATGTTAGGTTGCGATAAACATTTTAATAAAAATATACCATTTGCAATAACAACAAAAATATAAAGTACTTGAGAATAAAGGCCTTTGCACAGGCCTTTGTGGATAAAATGATAAAGCTTTATTGAAAGATATTGAAAAAATTTAAATTAATGGAAAGAGGGCGCCTGGGTGGCGCAGATGGTTAAGCATCTGCCTTCAGCTCAGGTCGTGATCCCAGGGTCCTGGGATCGAGGCCCACATCAGGCTCCTGGCTCAGCGGGGAGCCTGCCTCTCCCCCTGCTCATGCTGTCTCTCTCTCTCTCTCTATCTCTGTGTCTCAAATGAATAAATAAAATCTTTAAAAAATTTTTTAAAAAATAAATTAATGGAAAGGCATACTATGTGCTTACAGAGAAAGACTTGATATTATAAAGATGTCAGTTCTCTCCATGACCTTGGTGTTGGGCTAAGGGGGACAATAAGAATTCCCCATGCCTAGTCTTGGTAGAGTCTCACCCATCTGCTCATCTCAGGAGCAGGCTGAGTGGAACTGCCTTTGGTAGTCCTTTACTCCTCCTCTGAGATTTCCTCCTGCAAGCTGGGGAGGATTTCTTACCTTTGAAATCACATTCCTGAAACCCTCATCCCTTCCTCCCCCTGCTTCTCTTTCTGGCTTGTCTGGCACGTTCCTTTTTTCTTGCCCAGCCCTTTGCAAACCTCTCCACAGATGGCAAGGTGTACAGTAAAGTTACCTGGATTGTCTAAAAGATGTCAACCCTTCATCCCCCCATCCTACCCTAGCAAATTCTTGTGTTCACTCTCCGGGAACGTGTATTACTTGGGCCCTGACGCTTGCAGGTATTTTGCCACTGTTACCTTCACCCACAAAATTGGTTGTCACCACCTTGATCCTCAGACCCCTTGTTCTCAGAGTAGGGTGATGATTGAACAATTCTGTGACTATGCTAAAAACCACTGATTTGTACACTTTAAAAGGTGAATTTCACTTCTTAAAACTATTATGAAAAGCTTTAATAGGTCCTTCAGTTTTCAAGTAAAATTCATTCAACATTTCTGAAGTGCCCACTCATGTCATACCCTGTGCTAGGCTTTGATGAAGACAAACATAATCTCTTTCTGAGCTTCCAGTTTGGGAGTGAAGGGGAGACAGACAATAAAATATTACCATATGGTAAAAGGAAGACAAGTGCTGTTAGATCACCTTTCTCAGAAGTGAGGAGTTGAAGAAAGATTTCCAGAGAAGGAGTTCATCTCGGCTGTGAGCAATGAGATAAGTAAGCATGCGGAAAGAGCAGCTTCCATCTTGACGGGAGTGGAGATGTGGTTACATGCCAGGAGCTGAGGTCCCAAAGGTTGGGTCTAGTTCTGTGGGTCTGAGAGGACCCAGCCAGAGGTGGTTTATTTCCCCCCAAATTGTTCTCCCTTTATCCCAGAGTGTTATTTGGTAACACAACCAAGACAGATAGTTACCAGTTCTATTAGGGGGAGACCCACTCATTTCCACAGGAAGTCATGGGGAGGAGTAGGTTTTGTGGTTTATTCTGGAGAGGAAGGCCTCCAGTGCTCCAGAGCATTCCAGCACTGCGGTGACTCCCGGGTCCTTGTCTACAGGCTCTAGGGGAAAGGGTGCAGAGGAGCTCTCCAGGGGCCCTTACACACTCACCTCCTGAAAACACAGTGGAGGAGGAGCCCTATTCCAGGCCACTTGCCCCAAATCCACAAGTGACAATTATGGGTGTTTCTTCAGGCACAGAGATTTGAGTAGCCCGTGGTAGAAGAACATAACTACCATTAGGTCTGAGGTGCACTACCAACCTTTTGTCCTCCAGGGAAAGAAGTACTTGGAGTCGGAGAAAAACCTCCATATTGTCTGGACTGAGCAGGAAGTGAAGACCAGGCAATTCAAAGCGGTCCAGGGCAGGGGAGAGTACTTTTACATTTTGTACCATACAAATACCTTACACAATAAGATAAAAAGAATGAAAAGAAAATGAATGAAATATGTGTCAAAATGGCACCCCCATACATAATTGCTGGGAGTATAAATTGGTACTTCTTTCCTAGAAGTTTAGGAAACTCCAAAATACCAATACCTCTTAAAGTAACACTCCAATTTAAGAATTTAGTTTAAGGAAATACTCGGAAATGCACACAAAAATTTACAAAAATAAAGTGCTGCCAACAACCAAAATTTCCACCAGTGGATGATTTTTTTTTTAATTTCTTTTTTAATTTTAAGTAGGCTCTACACCCAGTGTGAGGCTTGAACTCACAACCCTGAAATCAAGAGTTACATGCTCTGGGGTGCCTGGGTGGCTCAGTCATTAAGCGTCTGCCTTCCGCTCAGGTCATGATC